TTTTTCTGTTTCTCATCTTCCCTCTGCTCCTCTCTCTGCCTCTGCCTCCCTGAAGACCAGTTCTTAGAATGGACAGGTAGCTTAATGCTTAGCCCTGAGTTCAACCCAGAGGCTGGAAGATGCGGAGAATAGTAGGGAGGGGGCAGGGCCGGCTTTAGGAAGTGCAGGGCCCAATTCGAACCCTTTCGACAGGACCCCAGCAGCCAGGATTTTTTGTTGACCAAAAAAAAAAAAAAACCACACACAAATATTGGTTGAGAAAAAAAAAAACCCACAGCACACAAAAACCACAGCTCCTTTAAGTCCCCAGCTGCAGGGCAAAGTCTCGCCATCCGACCAAACCCAGGGGCCCACTTACCCCTCCTGTGCCGCACGGAAGCCGCCGCGCTCCTCCGGGGCCAATGCCCCCTCCCACAGTGCTCCTGGCACACCAGCACACTTCTGGATTTAGGGCACGGGGCCCGATTCCAGGGAATCGGGCGAATCGGCCTAAAGCCGGCCCTGAGAGGGGGTGAGGCCCATGAAACGCTGTCCTGTTGGCAATGGGGTAATTTGCATAGAAGGCCTTGTAAGCAAACGAGGTGACCAAAAAGGGCAGAAATGCAGGAGACGTGGTGACCAAAAAGGGCAGACAAGGGGTTCAGGAAAATGATGATGAAGCTATTTCTATGGCTCTGTTACTGAAGGTAACAGAAGATGAGGGTGCTCCTGCTGATAGACACGACTAGCAGGCTGTGACGAGCGCGAGTCAGACTCTCCGGATGAAAGTGGTTATCCTGCTGAGGAAGTTAAGATACCTGTGAATGTTACAGACGACAATATTGTGCTGCCACGAGGACAAACCTCATCCTGGTTCCTGAGCAGAACCACAGAAAAGTACCACCGCAGAGGCTCCATCCCAGATTTTACACAGAACATTGGCCAGACGGGACTCTGGGAGTTTCATCAGTGCTGTGGGGCTGTGCATGCAGTGTGGACCCAGGGCTGGCCTTACCATGAGGCAAACTGAGGCGGCTGCCTCAGGTGCCAGGCTGTGGGGGAGGGTGGCTCCACTAGTACCCAGAATGTAGAAAATTGTGTCTGTTGCTGGTGCAGCAAGGGGGCATGGGAGCGTTATTTGAGCTCCCCACCTCAGGTGCCAAAATGTTGTGGGCTGGCCTTGTGTGGACCGGATCAAAGCGCTTCTACTTTCACACCTCATGAATGAATCCTGGTGTCTGGATTTAAGGAATGGCCTGGTAACCTGGGTGTGACCACTCCGCACCAACTGGCAGGGGCATTACAAGAATATCCTGGTCCTGGTATGCAGGGGCAGCAGGTTTGCAGAAATGTTGGTGGTGCCCCAAACACCCAGAGCCTGCACCCCTCCTCTCTAAGTCCCCTTCCCCACCTGCCTAAGGCTCAGGGAGGGGGTTGAGTGGAGGGAGGGGTGCAAGGTCTGAGAGGGAGTTTGTGTGCTGGCTGCAGGCTCTGGACTGGAGCAGAGGATTGGGATGCAGGAGAGGGTCTTAGGTACAGGTTCTGGGATGGAGTCTGAGTGCTGCTGGGTGCAGGCTCTGAGTTGGGGCAGGAGGTGGGGGTGCGGGAGAGAGTGAGGGTGCAGATTCTGGGAAGGAGTTTGTGGGCTGCCAGGTGTGTGGGGAGATGGAGATGCAGGAAGGAGTTCGGAAATGGAAGGGGTTATGGTGCAGGAGGGAGAGGGTTGGGGGTGTGGCATTTACCTGGGGCACCCCTCTCTGACAGTAGCTCCTAAGTGGGAGGGAGGGGTCTGTGCCCACTGCTGCCGGGAAGCACTGCCCCCACAGCTTCCCATTGGCTGCTGGGCACTGAGACGGGGGGCAGTATAAGGAGGAGACACATACACCCCTGGGACATAGGGACATCCCGGCAGCTGTGCTGGACAAGTGGCTGGAAACTGCACTAGCCCTACTGTGCTGCTGGTGGTGGCAGTGGTAGGCCCCAGACCATTTTAATTTGCCAGGAGCCACCAGGCAGGGACAGGAGAGAAATTGGGGAAGGAGGTGGCAGACAGAGCTGGGGAAAAGGCCCAGTCCTGGACTTCGGTGGAGCCGGGCTCCAGGCCAGGAATATTCCTAGTGCCCAGGCATCTAGAACTCGCCACCCATGCTGGTGTGTTCATTCTACTTGACGGAAGAATGTTGTGTGCAGTCTTAAGCGAAAGGCAGGCTCATGTTGGTCAGTCCCAGCACTGTGAAGTGTAGGTACCGATCAGTCAGGAGCTACGGACACATACTGAAAATAGGTTCCTCAAGTCTGTCTACACTACAGGGAGAGTCGACAAAAAGAGGTGTGTTCTCCTGCCTCTTGGATGACATGCATGGTAAGCCAACAACATGGTAGTCCTCCAAACATAAGAAGGGCCGTGCTGGCTTAGATCAAAGGTCCATCTAGCCCAGTATGCCGCCCTTGGATATGGCCAATGCCAGGTGCGGGGCCGTCCCTATCAATACACAAAGTGCACATCTGCACAGGGCATCAGGAAATTTGAGGCACCCAATTCTGTGGTGGCCTAGGCAGTTGCATGCTGCATTTGGGGCAGCGTTGGCTCCGGCAGCCACCCCCATCATTTGGCTGCCCCCTGGGCTGCACCCAGCAGGGCCATCCCTAGAACCTGGGACAACTCCCTTCCCCCTGCCTCCAGACCTGCCCCACTTCTTCTGTCCCTGCTCCGCCCACACTCTACCCCCATTCCCCCCCGAGTGATGTGGCCTGTGGAGTTAGCAGGGGGCCTTATGATGGCAGAGGGGGTTGGGCCCACCCCCACATTCACTGGCAGCAGGAGGAAGCAGAGTGGCCTGGCCCCAGCCCACTCAGATCCCTGCCCCTGGTGAGTGCACAGTCAGCCAGGAGAGCGGAGTAGGCTGGGTCAGGGTCTCTCCGCTTCCCCCCAACATAAAGGAGTCACCCCCGCAGGGGGCTGCACAGGCCACTCAAAGTTCTAGGGTCAGCTGTGTCCAGGTGCTTCCAAGAGAATGAATAAAACAAGTCAAGTGATCCATTCCCTGCCAGCCATTCCCAGCCCCTGGCACACCAAGGCTAGGAACTCCATCCTGGCCAATAGTCATTGATGGACCTATCCTCCATGAACTTCTCTAGTTCCTTTTTCAGCCCTGTTATAGTCTTGGCCTTCACATCAAAGTCAGCTGGAGGGTGGGAGGAGGAGTGAAATCAATAGAAAGGCAGCACATCCGCAAATACACCACAGAGGGTTATCCTATCGCTGAGTCAAAAAAAATTAACTTTGGGGACTAGAAGGGCCTTTTTTTCCCTGCACCTAGGAAATGATGGAGCAGTGCAGGGTCAGACTCTGTCCTGGCTGAAAACTTCTTTAGACAAAAAGTTAGCCTGTTCAGTTCGGTGTCCAGAAAATGTGCTATGGTTTTGTTTTATATATAAGTCTCTAGCTCCCATTATGTGTCCTGACCCTCTCTGTTAATAATCTGATTGTTATTTCCACTAGAAATATAGCTTCATGCTGTGGTATTAGGAGCTGAATCACTCCAGCTGGTGTTTGTGCTGTTCCCGGGGGCACAGCAGAGCAGGTATTACTGTGGGCATTCAGGGAAGGGGCTGGAAGGAAGAGAAAGCTTCAAAAGGGCTCAGGGACTGAGGAGCACTGACTGTTAATATACAAAGCAAAGTGAGGGCTGGCCGGGCCTAGCGGGGATGGTTTGGGTGTCTAACGGGCTGGCTGTGTCCAGGAGCTGACACTCAGTTAAGCACAAGCAAGGCTCCCTTGGACTGGCAGCAGGGGTGACACACAAGGTGAGATGGAAGTGAGAGTGGAAGTACAAGATCAAAGCACTTGGATTAAGGTTGTGACAGGCTGTGATAACATCTCTCATATGCTATCAAGATACCAGCTCTGGCCTCTGCTCTGCCTCTGGAGCCAGGCTTCACTGCCTGCTTGTTACATGTTCAACTAAGCACCTTTATGCTTTCTCCCAGTAGGTTTCACCTCATGCTTGGCAGGGTTGCCAGGTGTCCGGTATTCTACCGGACAGTGCGGTATTTGCGCTCTTTGTCCAGTAAAAAAAATCAGAGAATACTGGACATGTGCAATGTCCAGTATTCTCTGATTTTTCCGGCTGTGCACCAGACAGAAGCCTGGTGTGGGTGGGGGAAGCAGCTGGAAGGTGGAGCCACAATCGGCGCTGGGAGCCTATGATTGTTATAAGGAACACTGGTCCTGGCCCATAACTGGGGCTCCCTGTTGTTGCTCTGATACAGACAATTAATAATTAGGGCCCACTGATGAGGATGATTGTGGTGATGAAGATGAGGCCCAGACGTGGAAACGATGGGAAGTAGAAGACTTATGATGAGGATGCCTCTGAGATCAGACTCAACTGCGCCACAATGCTGATAAATTGGAGCAAGAGGCCAAAATCAATTACAGGAGGTGCAGTGAGAACAAACATAACAGGATTTACCTGGGGAGGAGTAATCAAATGCACACATAGAAAGGGGGACTTAGTGGCGAGGCAGCTGGCAGAAAACGGAGAGGATGACAAATGGAAAAGTCAACAATACAACACTCTTGCATCAGAGACTGGGGTGTTGGGGAGTCATACGGAAGAGATGCTCATTCCACTCGGTGCTGGGCTGGCTGCCGGCAGGAGCCTGCGCTCAGTGTTTAGCTCCACGTTTGAGGATCAGAGATCAGAGGAGAGTTTGAGAAGTGCATAGGAAATACTCCCCTGGGGCAAGGCTAGGAGAAAGTGGCACAGTGAGCCGGCAAGAAATGAGGCAGAGCTACAAACACATGAAAGGAACAGTTGTCGCCTGCTGAAGGTGGAACAAGAAGTAAGCCACTCAAAAGGCCAGCTGGGAACATTTAGGTTAAACAGCAAAAAAAAAAAAAAAACCTCTGAGATGAGTTCAGCCTAGAAACAATTCATGAGGGGAGTTCCCTGAGGAGGCCGCCCGAGCCTAGCAGTGGCTCATGGGCAGAGGGAAGGTAGTTGGCTTAGCCGGACCTAGCATGGGGAGGTGCATTCAGCCCACCCTGTGGGCTTGTACGGGATGCCAGAAACAGTGGTGGGAGCATGTTCAGGACAGTGCGCGGGCAGGACTGGGGTACAGGTGAAAGCCCCAAAACCACTGAAATTTGGGGAACACGTAAGTGGGATATGGCCATCACTGCCACCAGGAGGAACCTCCAAGTCACAGTCAGCTCCAGCACCGCCCCCAGAAGTCTCCAGGTCACAGTCAGCCCCAGCACCGCCCTCAGGAACCTCCAGGTCACAGTCAGCCCCAGCACCGCCCTCAGGAACCTCCAGGTCACAGTCAGCCCCAGCACCGCCCTCAGGAACCTCCAGGTCACAGTCAGCCCCAGCACCGCCCTCAGGAACCTCCAGGTCACAGTCAGCCCCAGCACCGCCCTCAGGAACCTCCAGGTCACAGTCAGCCCCAGCACCGCCCTCAGGAACCTCCAGGTCACAGTCAGCCCCAGCACCGCCCTCAGGAACCTCCAGGTCACAGTCAGCCCCAGCACCGCCCTCAGGAACCTCCAGGTCACAGTCAGCCCCAGCACCGCCCTCAGGAACCTCCAGGTCACAGTCAGCCCCAGCACCGCCCTCAGGAACCTCCAGGTCACAGTCAGCCCCAGCACCGCCCTCAGGAACCTCCAGGTCACAGTCAGCCCCAGCACCGCCCTCAGGAACCTCCAGGTCACAGTCAGCCCCAGCACCGCCCTCAGGAACCTCCAGGTCACAGTCAGCCCCAGCACCGCTCCCAGGAACCTCCAGGTCACAGTCAGCCCCAGCACCGCTCCCAGGAACCTCCAGGTCACAGTCAGCCCCAGCACCGCTCCCAGGAACCTCCAGGTCACAGTCAGCCCCAGCACCGCTCCCAGGAACCTCCAGGTCACAGTCAGCCCCAGCACCGCTCCCAGGAACCTCCAGGTCACAGTCAGCCCCAGCACCGCTCCCAGGAACCTCCAGGTCACAGTCAGCCCCAGCACCGCTCCCAGGAACCTCCAGGTCACAGTCAGCCCCAGCACCGCTCCCAGGAACCTCCAGGTCACAGTCAGCCCCAGCACCGCTCCCAGGAACCTCCAGGTCACAGTCAGCCCCAGCACCGCTCCCAGGAACCTCCAGGTCACAGTCAGCCCCAGCACCGCTCCCAGGAACCTCCAGGTCACAGTCAGCCCCAGCACCGCTCCCAGGAACCTCCAGGTCACAGTCAGCCCCAGCACCGCTCCCAGGAACCTCCAGGTCACAGTCAGCCCCAGCACCGCTCCCAGGAACCTCCAGGTCACAGTCAGCCCCAGCACCGCTCCCAGGAACCTCCAGGTCACAGTCAGCCCCAGCACCGCTCCCAGGAACCTCCAGGTCACAGTCAGCCCCAGCACCGCTCCCAGGAACCTCCAGGTCACAGTCAGCCCCAGCACCGCTCCCAGGAACCTCCAGGTCACAGTCAGCCCCAGCACCGCTCCCAGGAACCTCCAGGTCACAGTCAGCCTAGCTAGCTGACAAATCCAGGCTCTCTGTCCCAGGAGAAGGGGCAGAAGTTGGTTTTGGCAGGATTCCCGGCTGTAGGAATAAGAAGGTTCAGGGGCCTGGAAGTGAAAAAGCAGAGTGTGCCCACCCCTCCCAGTCCCCTCCACAGCCAAGCAACAGGTCCTCCCTCTGCTTTCAGAATAAAACCAGGGCCTGAAACCTCATCTGAGCTCCAGGGCTCTGCTTGTCCCTCATAAGTGGGGGAAACAGGAACTAGACCCTTTCACGTCTCTGCTCTGCCTCACTTCCCCGCCCCTGCGCCCAATCACACAAGCTAGAGGAGCCCCAGAGCCACCCTAAGTCTGGGCCATAATGCTGGCTGCATTCTAGCCAGAGCCCCTCCTATTTTAACAACATCACTGACATTATGGGGCTGGAAGGGTGTGGCCAGCTCACTGGGGGAATCTTCAGTCTCCTCCAGCAGTACAAAGGGGATGTGATGTCTGGGATTTATTACGATAAAGCATGAAGTAGGAGCAAACAGCACTTACCCATTCAATGTCTCCATTGTACCAGTCAACAAATACCACAAGCCCAGCTCCAGGGGCCAGGAGCTATCTTATTTCTTGCTATCTATCGTCTGCCCTGCCCTCCTCCACCTGCTCTTGCACCATCTCTGGTTTTTCTCCATCTGGTCAGCTCTGCCCCCTCACCTCTCTCCATGAAAGGGAAAGGTAGCTCAAAGATTCCTAAAAAAAACAGCAAGCAAATGGTCTGGTAGCATTTTATAGACTAACAAAACATGTAGATGGGATCATGAGCTTTTGTGGGCACAGCCCACTTCTTCAGATGACTAGAGGATAAGGAAACTCGAAATAATTAGAAGGGGGAGAGGGGGAAGAAAGATGTTCTGTCATCCACCCCCCTACCTCTATGCATAAAGTATCAGGAGAAAGGGTGCTAAACCTGAGTAGATAAAGATCAAAGTCAGTGGCTGGATAAGGCAGGAGGGATACCATTCAGAAACACACCATTCAGAACACACCATACGAACCATCATCTATAGCCAAGCCCTTCGATACAACTGCATCTGCTCTAATCCCACTGACGGAGACCAGAAACTTCAGGATCTCTACCAAGCATTTATAAACCTCAACTACCCACCCAGAGAAATAAAAAAGCAAATTGAAAGAGCCAGACGAATACCTAGAAACCAACTACTTCAAGACAGACCCAAGAAAACCAACAATAGAACACCACTTATCATCTACAGCCCCCAACTTAAACCTGTCCAACACATTATCAATAAACTACAGCCTAT